CTTGAAATGAATGAGTGCAGCACTATATATATATATATATAAGATACTATTTGTACAGATAGATATAATGCGAATAAAACAAAATAGTCTAAATGAATACAAGTGTATCAAAAAAAAATACCTATGATGTTTTCTCTTCCTAATTGAATATTAATCATTGCTCTATGTATATATTGCTACTAATCTGACTATTGACTAGTTTAATAATAGGCAAAAAAAAGGACACAAGGTTTATTCATTTAATTGTTAGAACAAAAAAAGAAAACGAGAAATATGCAAATAGTGTCGATGACAGTATTCATATAAGCAGTATATATAAATCAACCTACAAGTTCGATGTCATTATTATTCATAGAACTAAAAATATATAAATGTTTGTCATTTTCCCCCTTTTCTGTTTATTCCCACGTTTGCATGTGATTAACACGTATGTGGGATCAAAAAATAAAATTGGCTGGAAATTACATCAATACATTGAATATCTCATAGAAATGTGAAATATCTCTCTCTCTTTATGTATATGTACATCTGAGAATATAAACAAGTGTTTAATCGGATAACTTTGATGATAAACAATGTATATTTATGTGAATAACATTGATTTAAAGATAGTAGAACATCTATCCAATTTAGTTGAGAGTACATATAAAAAAAAAAATTGTGTTAAGATGAAATCTGATCTTGTCTTGTGAACAAATGTGATTGACACATAACAGATGGCAACAAGAACTCGTTGTCCGACATTGAAAGCCAACATGTCACTGATCAAGTTGTCTATGTTATTTGATCTTGATAATATATAGATCTAATCTATGTCGTTTTTTTTTATGCTAGAAAATGTAAACATGAAGTTTGTATGTAATTCCATTTGATAAAATAACAAGAATAACAATACGAAAGGTGAATCTATGGCAACAACTAATGTCTAAGAAACGTTCATTCAGAAATTATTTATGCATGAACAGACTTTTACTTATTCAAGTGTAAAGTCACAAATAATTTTTTGACAATTTTTCCATTAGAAAAATAAATTATAGAATATAATAGTCGATAACAACTTGTTACAGATGAATTTGCATTATAATTTTCATGGTAACTGACAAAACAGTTTTTTTGCTATAAAATGATTAGATTGAGAAATCATGAATTGCAACTATTTGATTTTATTTACAATCAAAAAGAAAAAAAAAAAAGAAATTAATCATCTCCATCAATACCACTTTCATTCATAAATGAAAGTAATTGTATTTTAGTCTTTTTTGTTTCATTCGAGTTCCCATGATTACTTTCTTTTTGTGTTGTTGTTGTTGTTGATGGTATTGGATTTTTTCGTTTTGTTGATTTATTTGATGCCATTTCAACTATATCAGATTTGCTAGTTGTGCTAGCACTTTCATCTGATTTTTCTTTTGGTTTACGAAATAATAGACGACCATTAGAATCAATACATTTTTTCTCTTCTTCAGCTAAAAATAAAAAAATAATTATTTGTTGAAATTTTAAAAGTGGGTGCATTTGAATTATTCATCGAACTGGTCTATGCAAATAGGCTTGAAAATATGGCATTCATTTAAAAGAACAAATGGCAACTTTTATGCTAAAAATAGTTTGCAATGATGCCCGGATAAAAATAAAATGTCGCTATTTTTTAGGTCCAAAACGAAAATGAAAAACTACACTATTATTATATTTATGTACTTGGATTCTTTTATTTGCCAACCAACTATGTAAAAGATAAAGATAAAAACAAAACCTATTTTTGGAGTATCTATATTCATTGATATTTAAAAAGAAATATTTTAATAGCATTTCGAAACATCGAATCTTAGAAAGGTTTCAATGTATGATTTTAATAAAAACCATTATCTTGTTTATCAAAATTAAAAGATATTATTTTATATCTTAATACGAATATAAATATATAACAATGAATATATTGTTTGATAAACAGTTTATTTTTCTGACCTTGGGGAAATACAAGGTGAAAAACAGATGTTGTTTTTTTTCTGTAAATTCTAAGACGTAAAATCAATACAATACCTTCTTTTGCTTTTGCTAATTCGATTTCAACTTCTTCTTTACTTAAATCATTTGTATTCAATTGTACAATTTGAGGTTTTTCATCATCTTTTCGATAATCTCCATCACGAGGTTGTTCATCATTATCATTTATTTCATTGATAAGTATTCGACGCTAATATTCAAATATAGCAATATTATCAAAATGAAAAGACTAAAAAAATAAGATGTTATACCTTATCATCAGTTGTTGATGGTGCTTGATATCCAGTACGTTCTTTAAATTGTCGTATAAATGCTGGTTCATCACCTGCGTTATATAAAATTTTTCCTTGTTTATTACCGCCACCACGGCCGCCAGCAGTTCCACCATATGATCTATTTTGCCTTCCGCCTTGTCTATGTTTCGACATAATTTACAATCAAAAAATAAAGAAAAAATAATATTTATTTATTTGTTCAAATAACAAGATAAAATATAAAAAAATACGTTTCTTTTCTTTTTTTTATTATTTTATTCAATATTATTATTTATTTTAGTGTAGAAATGTTTTTTTTTAAGTCATTAATAGTATTTCTTTTATATTTCACTCGTTGGTTGTAAATCTTTTTATTCCATTCTTGTATTAACTAAAGACAAGTTTTTTTTCTTATTTTTGTGTATTATATAAAATGATCATTGATAGACAAAAGGAAATTTAAGATATTGAACCAGAACAATTTGATAAAATCAATAAGAATATTTGTATATGATATTTTGATATTAAGCTCATTCAAAAGAAAATATCCGCCGTATACGCTTTAATAGCTAAGCATATCCAAACCAGTTCACAGGCCTAAAATTGATCAAATTTTGACATTTTGTCTTGAAATTTATTCATTAAACAACGTTTATCAACTCAATAACCTAGAAGTTGAGTAAGAAGTATTGGTAATTTAATAAACAAAATATAAATTAGCAAATTAGCACTCAAATGTGCTGCTCTACTAATCTATAAGAGTAGTCATGTTAAAATATTTTTCTACGGAGTTGAATTAGACTAATAAGAATTTTGCTTTTCTTTTTAAATTAAATAATTTTTAGATTTTTTTGAAGTTCTTTCTCATATCATTGATTGATAATGATGAAATTTGATTTATATTATCTATTTGCAGGTGTAATTGTCGAATGTATGATTCCGTAGTAAGATTAAACCATAGAATTATCCAGATAAGCATTTTAAACAAAAATAATATAAAACCATGTTTTATCTTTCAATGATCATTTAGGTTAAATTGAATGAAATGAAGATTGCATAAAACACTAGAAACTCAATTACCCTTATTCAATATGAAATATCTAATAGCCATATTGAACTTTTTTCTTGAAAAACTGCTGTTGCCCTCATGAGAGTGCATATTAGCGTAAATGTAGTCAATAAAACATAAAAAAAAACAATTCTGATAATATATAAAAAATTTTCCATATAATGTTGTTGATAACAATTCTCCTGGAATTTGAATAATTGTAGAACTAGAAAAAAGAAAATGATACAAGAATAAATTCTTGAGTTTTTACAATTCAGTTAAGTTAACATTCTAGATAGTTTTCTAACATTTCATATTCTCTTACTGAATGTGATAATTATGATGTATTATTTGATAATGAATGAATAGATAATTTAATCATTGGGATAATCGCAATTGATAAATTCCATTGTAAAAATAGATTCATTAACAAAACTCAAAAAATGCAAATGAAGAATATATCGTTATAATTTTATTTAGTATGTATATATTCTATGAAATCATTTTCTTTTATTTAAGTTTTCGACCTGAGAAAACAGAAAATGCGTTCATATCAGAGATGTGTAGAGTAGAGTAAGGGTTAAAGAGTTTTTCTTACAGGAGAACCTACATAAATATCCTACACTTTTTGATTGAGACTGTACTCAGATGATAGGTGATGATAAGTAGTATCCAAGCCTAAGATAGTTTCTTTATGAAAATCGAAGTTTTGACTTGAATATAAATAATGAAAACTTCCTGAGTTTTCCTATACAGATATCTTCTCATACGAAGTACTAAAATAACTTTCACAGTGCTCTAATATCGTTAAGAGTGTTATGTGTGCAAAGTTTCAAGCGATAACTTGAAATTCGATTTTCATGATTACCTAAGAAAGACTGGAGGCTTTGGTTAAAAAAAGGCAGTGAAAAATCAATATCTCAAGAATAATACTTCACATTATTGAACCATCTAAAACGTTGATGTTGCTCATCATAACCTTTCGTCTGAGTACAATCGTGATAAAGAACAAAACAATCCGACACTTGGGATTGTTCTCTCGTCAGTCAAGGTACAGAATACGAGAAAAGACGTACCTTGCATATCTACAATGCATACGAAGTAACAATGTTCTTTTTTTGACCGAGATAAATTAATCCAAAATCAATTATTTTTTTGTTTTTAATATGCCTGTTGGTACAATATATCCTTGAATGTTAATGTTGATTTTGTACAATCATCCAGATTGTCTCCTATGATAAGAAGATAAAAATAGAACAGCTATAATACTAGACAAAAATAAAACACCTTGGAAAATAAATCATATTCTTACCAAATAAAAATGACATTAAAAATAAAAAACAATACATATATATGAAATTCGATATTACTTGTTTATATTTGTAATACGAACAGAAATTTCTTTTACATGTGTTGATTAAGATTTCTTTCTTTTTTTTTGTTTTTCATGAAAAAAAAATCAATGAAAGTTTTACAATTGTTGTTTTTTCAATATACATAAATCATAGACAAACAAAAACAGACAGAGATAAAAATGTTTGTACATACAATGGAGATGATGTTTAAACTAATTTCATATACATATTGTCTTTTCTCTGTTTTTTTATCTAATATAAATTCATTCGTCAAAAAAACGAACGATGAAATTTTGGAAGAAAAATAAAAGAAAATGGATAAATCTTATTTTCATTTGTTTATCGTCTCATAGGTCGTTTAGATGGTATAGGTCCATTATCATTATATCTTGAACCGGAACGTTTCAAATTTGGACGATCTCGATGAGATGATGAACGATTATCATTATGATTACGATCACGAACATTTCGAAATAAACCTTCTTGATGATCCATTGATGATGTATAATTACTACGTGATGATGATGATGTACTTGGATAATCTCTTGATTGAGATATTGGACGATAGTTAACATCTTGTACATATTGTTCACGTGTCATATATGATGATGGTGATGACATTGAAATATTTGATGAACTTCGATATAAATCATTACGATAAGTAGATGATGATACAGATGCCATTGAATAATCACGTGATGATGTATTATTTCGGTTCGCTACAAATTAAAGGAGTATTTTTCGCTTGATTGTAATAAGGTATAAGAAAATGAATATGAATACTCAAAATTTATTATTTTCTTTCTTTTTTAAATTTTTTATATTTTTTTTTTTTTATTGAAATTTTAATATTAGAAAACTGATTTACGTAGGAAAAGAAAAGATTATTAATTATTTGTTTGTTATTTGTATATTGAATAATTGTTATGATATTAATTATATTGAATTAAAATTTGTATTTCTTTTTTTTTTTATAATCGAAATAAGACGATGACATTGAAAAAAGTCGATGATATATTTATATTTTTTTTTCTCTCATAAATATATCGAACATCAATCATTGTGAATAAAGATATTAGCATGTACGTCTTAGAAATTAATCATTGTGATAATAAATGATTAATGTCTACTTCAAAGTGATAAAAAAAACGAATTTTGGTTGTCACGATCATTATTTTGATATATATATATGGTAAAATTAACCGAAAGATTGTAACAGATTGAATGTAATCAAAATAAAACCATATAATTGTTTAATGAACGATAGAAAGGGAAATTGATGTTTGTGCTAACAGCGACGGGTTAATAGAAAAAAAATTGTTTAGAATATCACTTACGTGGTATATCATATCGTTCAGAACGTGTGTCATAATCATTAGTTCGATATATTTCACCACCATATGGATCCTTACGTGCAGATACAGGAGCCAATGGTGGAGGCGTTAGAGATCGATATTCATTACGCATATATACATCATTACTTGTATTTCGAGGTCCATAATCCATTGAACGTTCATTTCGATAAGATGAAACAGGTGGTGGAGGACTATTTCGTCTACAAAACATATTAAAAATTGTCAAAAAGATTTAATTGAAATAAGAATCTACCGATAATTTGAAGGTGATGAAATATATCGATTACGTTCGGAATTAATATGTTGTGATGGAGGCAATGGTAATCCACGATCACGTAAAGGTGATATTGATTGAGTTGATGTATAATATAAAGAATTTGATGGAATAGGACCATTAGAAATAATTGGCTGTTCAGTTAATAATGATGGATATATTTCACGATGATTTGATGATCGATCAAATCTTGATGATGGTGAATGATTATCATAATAATTTGATTGTCCACTATTTGTTCGATTAGATGATGACGAAGAAAAATTTGATGAAGATGGATAATCATCATTATGTTGATAACGATGATGTTTTGATGGACCATTTCGTGATGAAACAGGTCGAGAATTAAGTGAAATACGTGATGAACGATAACTATAACTTTCATTTGGTGAATTTCTTGATGAATAATTACCATTATGATCATTACTATGTGATGGATGTCCACTGGAAACAAAAAAACAAATTTTTCTGATATTTATGTTTAAATTAAACAAAAGGCATCTCTCTTACCGATAGTTTCCACGTGTTGAACGATCCGTATGATTATTTCGATTTGTCGAAAAATTATTATGTCGATCACGATATCGACCACGATAACCATCACGTGAACCCTCCATATCTATAGACATTTATATATATAAAATAATAAATCGATCACGAAATATGACAATCAACTAGTGCATATATTATGATGAATGTCTGGAACAGATGTGTTAGAAGAAGACCTTTATTCTTTCCTTTCTATGGTTATTAAGAGAAAAGGAGAAAAGAAAATATATAGATAAAAAATATCAAACAATACCAATATTATGATCTTTCTTTATTTTTTGTTGATTGTACAGAAAAGAGACAAATGGATCGCATCGGTGCATAAAGAATAATCAATTTTCTATCCTGTATTAAGGCTATTTTTATAGGAGCTATCAGAAGATATTTTATTCGATATCTACTAACGATAAAACATTTGCGAAGCATATTTTGTACATAAAATATAGTTGATGGTTAGAACAAATTGACGTAGATATATATATATATATATTGCACATGAGTCGACACTTATAATGCTACGATACAAAGTGTTGACATATCATGTAAGACTTTTTTAATATATCCTTGAATAATATTTATTAATAGGTCATTACATAATTTCTTAACCACATTTCCGAGCTCATGTAATAAGATTTGGATTCTTTTTTTTCGAATTTTGTGTTTAATACAATTCCGTATTAAGTCAGTAGCATTACAAGAAGAGCTATCATGTGGCCATTGGTATAATTCAATATTACATATTTTAAAGAAATAATGTGGCTATTGAAACATGGAATGACCTATTAATAGATGTTTTCCTCCAAAAATTAACCTTAGACCAGTTATATTCAAATTGCATGAAATTTGCAGAATATATTATAGCTGTTGCTGTATGCTAAAGGTTTCAGTCTTATATCATGATATTTTCGAGAGATATTCAACAAAGAAGGATCAAAGAAAGCTCGTTTTTGTTTTGTCGGCTTTCATTATATAAATTTAATTTTGCTTTTACTTGAAAGAGAGTTTCAGACTAAGATACCCTTTGCTTTGAAATTCTTCCTTTTTATACGACGAAAAAAGGAAGATACGTTTAATATCTCGAAAAATAGTCATGTATTTATAGAAATGCTATTCCAAAAATTTAATTCCAAAAATCGGTATTGCAGTTTCACATGTTCTTTCAAACAATACAGCTAAGCAGTGGGCTATGATAAAGCTTCGAGAATTCTGGAATGCACGATCAGACAAATAGAGAAAACAGCATATTTTTCAAGCAGAAAATGACAAGGTACTAAATCAAAAATCATGTTATTAATGGAAGATCGGATCTCAAGCTGGGATCTCAATTTTGATTTCTCTGACTAGAAGTGACTTTTTTGAACGAGTAGCTTAGAAGAGACTAGATGGATATATTTAACATTTGGTATTAAATTTTTTTCTTTACATTATAAGTATTTATTTTCGTACTAAGGCATGGATCGAAATATTCTAGACAAAATATTTGACTATTTTTTTTCTATATTTAAATTTATTGATAGCACATTAGAATCAGAGTTTTGTGCTCTTTCAGAATATTTTGTTTGGAGAAAAAAGTCTCAAACGGAATTTGTTCGAGACATGCTACAAAATTTTTTTTGAATATATTAGAAGATACATAAAATAATTTTCTACAAAATGGTACACTTTTTTCTAACATTTTGAGCTGAAGTAAAGGCTTTCATAAAGCTTGTTTTTCTGATTTTCATCTTTTCAGCGAAAAAAGAATCTCCGTCAAATTCTGCCAGCTTTGTAGCGGATTCTACATAACTGTCCATTCATGCATCAGTTTGTAAACTAGAGCTCATCCCCAAGTGCTATATATTTACAGAACTTATTTGACATCTATAGGAAGCAAATCTGTCTTCAGAAAATTTCTTGAGTTCTGGCAAGATTTTCTTGCAGCTTAAGAGTTACAAGTCATAAAAAAATTCTAAGTATATTTTTTGAAAGAATACAAAATTCTGATTCTCATATGCTATCAGTGCATTTAAATACGCGAAAAATAATCAAATATTTTGTCTAGAAAGTTTCGACATATTCCTTTTTCATATACAGGAAGTATCAGCATTATTCAACAAGAATTATTTTCAGTTTTTTCTGACCGTCGTAACCGCTGGAAAGAATCTAAATAATGATTCAACTAAAGAAAAATTTTTCCAACAACACGATAAGGAAATAGAAACTATAATTAGGCTCTTAAATATAGAAACTTCAGAAAACTAAAATTCTAATTTCTTAGTACCTAGAGAACGCAAATATAACTTTGTTTAGACTACAGAGAATTGTAGAGCGAATAATTCCCTTCAAAATGAGACACCTCCGAGTTCTCGATGATTGTTTGTTGCTGAAATAGCGGCAATTTGGTTGCAGGTCCAAAAAGTTGGCCTTTTATATAGGAAGTAGCAAAAAAAAAGACTTTAGAAGCTTCCATAAGATTATCCTATCTTAACCAAAACAACGCCGCAGAGAACTCAGAAACATCTCATTTGGTAGACAATTATTTACTCTATCGTTCTATGTAGTCTAAACAAAATTATATTTACCCGCTCCGGGTGCTGAAAAACTTGGGTTTGTCTTGTTTTTTCTGAAGTTCTTATCTTTGGAAATCTAATAATAATTATTATTTCCTAATAAGCCTGTTGAAAACAATTTTGTTTGCTCGAATTGCTATTTGAATTCTTTCTAGAGCTTGTGGTAACCGAAAAAAAATTGAAAATAAACCTTGTTGAATAATTTTAATATTCACTGTAAGTTATACGTCAATTTGTTTTAAACATAACTACAGATCTGACAAGTTAGCGTTACAATTCGTAAGCTTTTTTTTTCCATTGGTAGTATACTATTTTGGAATTTTATGTTTTGTTCTTTTTATAATAATATTAACACAGAAGCAAACATTCACATATTTCCTTCTGTAACGTGGGTCAATAAGTTCGTTTTCCGGAAATTATCACAACCAAGGAATCAAACACTCGTATCTGTCAATCTTAATAGGAAATGTTAGACATCTTTGATTTCCGCATTTTTACATCCGAAAAAAAAAGAAATAAAACAAAACAAATGAGTGTGCTGTCTACGCACACCGTGCTCGAATCTTTTTTAATGCTAATATATTTTTTTCTCAGTAAAAGACAAGAAATACACGATAGATTAGATAGTGAATCAAAGAAAAAAAAAAGGAACAAAAAAGAAAATGACATTCTGTTTTAATTTGTTGTTCGTATTTCAAAGTGAAAATAGAATGAACAAAAGACATACACACACACACACACATGTTTGGTGTTTTTTATTTACACAAAAGAAAAAAAAAAGAATAAATTTGCATGGTAAAGGAATTTGTGTTTTTTATAAAAACAGAATTCGTGTACACTAAATTATGGACAATAAGAGAGAAAATGATGTTATATCTGGCACACGAAAAGATGACAAAAACACAAAACTAGAGACTCTGCGTGCTAAAACGAAAAGAAGAACACATCAACAATCAAGATTTTATATATATATTTTTTTTTAAGCATAAATTTTCGCTATTGAATCTGCTCCAACACTAGCCATATAAGGTTTTGATAAATGAAATGCAACGTCATGTATAGATTCGTCATCTTTCTTTTGATGAGCTGTTAGTTCTTGTACACAATTTTTTGTTTCCAAATTCCATAATCGTATTGAACGATCATGACCTTAAAAAATTTTTTTTTTTATAAAAAAATTGTTTTCAAAAAGAGTTTTATTCTTACTGGCAGAAAGAAGACATGTTTGTTGTGGATCAATAGCTAATGCAGTAACTGTATCAAGATGAGCTACCATTGAATGTATCATTCGTCCTAAAAAAAACAAAAAACCATTCATTTAATATTATTCATAAATGGACAAAAATTTTACTTTACCGGAATTAGTATCAAAATATCGTATTTTTCTATCTTCATGTGCTGTTATTATAATTGGTTGTGATGGATGACTTATGATTTTATTAATTCGATAACTTGGATCTGATGTTGAATTATCATTAACTAATTGTGATATAACTTTTCCTGTTTCAGTATCATAAATAATTGTTCTTAAGGAATCATACGTTGCAACAAATTGATTTGTATCTTGCATTAACCAATCAATAGATATTGGTATACCATCATCTATATTATTAACAAAAGATGAATGAATGGAGAAGACATATAATAGTGGACAAAAGTTTTCGACTCCTTCGTATTCCGACAACTATACATGCAGGAAATCTGAAATAGTATCCTAAAAATTGACTTCAGAAACACGTGGTCATTCCAATTGCTTAAATACAATGAAACTAATGATGTAAGGCACATATATTATGCTTCAAGCTTTTAGAATGCAAGAAGATTGCCGATTGAATGTCGTGTTACCTGTCATGAGAACCGAGTCTATGCTCTTTTTTTTTCAAGTTAAAATAGAAAGTACTTTAAACGAAGATTGTTGTCTCTGTACTAACAGGATGATTATTCAGATGGTATTTACATTTAATGAAAGATTCGTTCATGAAAATTGTAGATAATAATGTTCAACTACAAATTTTCAGATCGATTTACTTAACTTTTTCTAAGTTATGTTCTTCAAAAGGGCGGTAGCCAATTTTTTTCTCTACCCTAATGGTCATGGAAAAAATAGCAATATCGGAAGAAACCGCTAAATAATGAAGAATGAACTGATCCACAAAGGACAATATCTATGAAGTATGTAGGCATAGCCTAATTTCTATCAAAACATGTAAAAGAATATTTTTGATGTAAAATATAGGAAGAACACTTGAGTGTAAACTTTTGTCAAAGAAACTTTAATTCTAAAAACTAAAATACTCTCACATCAGTCAATGCAGCTTGTCATACTGATTTCAAATATATCCCCTTTAAGTACTTCTGAGACAAAAAGAATACAGTAAATCTCAATCTCAGTTCAGAAACATTTGTGCTAAGTAGACATGTCAGATAGAGAAAAACTTTCAATGAAACTTTCATCAAGTTTTGAGCTGTTTTAAAGTATATACATCGACTACACTAAATACAACTTTAACATTTATACA